TTTTGGAAGGGTTCCCCAAACCGTGGACTTGGCAACACTGTAGCGTGCCCAACTTGATGCTTCCTCTCAAGACTGCTTAGATGTGTTCGACTTGAAGCAGCGCTGCTTAGAGGCTTATCAGTGCGTGTCATCAAAGCACTGCGAGAGCTATAAGAGAGCGCGGACGTCTCCTTATGCTTTCTCTCGCCGTACTTTGATGTCATACACCGATCGATCTTCAAGTCGAACACACGTCTTTACTCTCGCGTGTCACGTGACCGAGTGTAATCGCAGCCTCTGCGATTGAAAAATCACGTTTTTTCATACCGCCATATAATCGCAAATGCAATTAATCGTTCAGCCCTAAGAGTAACGCACACATGACTGACAGACATATCTATATATGTAAATACAGCAGTTCATGTGTTATTCTTACCCTGTCCGGGGGAGTGGCGCAGGCAAGACTAGGCTGGACCAGGTCTGGGTGAGAGGGCTGAAAGGTGTGTGTGTGTGTTTATATGTGTATGTATTTCAAAGTAGCCAACTTAAGAGAGAGTAGGGTTATAGCTGCCTTATTCGGGGCGTGTGTGCAGGAGAGCAGAAATACAAAAGGTCATACACGGTAAGAGCTCTCTTGTTCACAGCCGATGAAAACAAACAAATAAAAACAAATGGAAAACAAAAAAAAAAGAAATCAAACCCCCCTAAAATGAGTAATACCTGTTGGACTGCGAAAACTGCAGAGCTTTGATACTGACGTCTTAAGTCGATCGACTACAGGAAACAAACAATACACACAAAGAGACGAAAAAAAAGAAGAGACGAACTTGTTGATAATACAGCTGCCAGAAGCAGTTATGACCCCAATAAGCTTCTCTCTTTCTCTATATGTGTGTGTCTTTCTAACTCTTTCTGTTGTACTGGCAATGCTGTATGGACCAGGTCCCAGCTGGTAACCCCCTCCTCACGCCGACAATCCCTCTCCCTCCTTTATCTGCAGGAGAAAACAAGACATGACCACAAACCTATAAAATAGTGTGGACTTAATGCAAGCTCTATAACTGAAACCATTAAAACCAAGAAAAGGAGCACTAGTGTTATTTCAGTATTATATATAATATGATATATATATATATATATATATATATATATATATATATATATGAACTGATTTTATATATAATCAGAAAATCTAAAATATCAAATGTAAAAAACTAAATATTAAAATTATATATACAAACATTTTATATATAAAATAGTGTGGACTTAATGCAAGCTCTATAACTGAAACCATTAAAACCAAGAAAAGGAGCACTAGTGTTATTTCAGTATTATATATAATATGATATATATATATATATATATATATATATATATACACACACACACACATCTCATTTGTAAATCGCTTTGGATAAAAGAGTCTGCTAAATGACTAAATATATATATTTAGCCCTTTATAAATTTTATTAATATTATGAATTAGCTTTTATTTTTATATGTTCAGTTTTCAATTTAATTTTAGTTACTTTTTTAGTAATGTTGTTATGTGATTTAGTCATATTTACTTTTTGTTTAATATCAACATATTAAATTTTTTTTTATTGCCAGTTAGTCATTGTAGTGCTTCAAAATAAAATGAAAATAATGAAAATTTTTAAATGAAAATAAGAAACGCTAAATAGAATGAGTTTAAGGTTTTTATTTTATTTCAGCTTTGCTTCAATGAACAAAAATGTTTTACTAGTTTTAGTTCTAGCTTTAGTTAACTATAACAATCCTGCAGCGCACATTGCCCGACATGCTCCTGTAACAGTATCCTATCAATTTAAAGGCCAAGCGTACATGAAAATAACCTCTCTCCTTTTTAAAATATCCTGAAAGATATTTTCTTTAAGAAAAGAGACCACAAACAAACCATGCCTTAGGAAAAACATAGTAAAAAAATGATAATTTGTGGCAAAGTTTACCAGAACACTATATTTTGGAAAGGGTAATTGTGCACAATGTGTGTTTTGCAGATAGATTGAAGCGAAAATCTTTCTAGATTGGCATCTGCACTGCACAACTAGAAGAGTTATTGCAATCAGGATAGCATGGAGATGGAAAAGAAACATCTCAGGGGTTTAATCAACAGCACCCACAGATGTCATAGCAACAGAAATATCTAAGCAACAGAACAAACCGTTGAGAATAAATAGTATTCACTGGGGGAGCCTGGCTCTTTAACATAAAGTACTACATTAGAATCTATGTCATCTCAAGAACAATTAAAGACACCTGTAACTTCAAAAGCACTTAGAGATGCATCAGTATGCCTGAGAGAGCTCATAATTCATCACGGGACTTAAAGGGGTCATATGATGCGATTTAAATTTTTCCTTTCTCTTTGCACTGGCCATCATGTGAACAGCTGCCAAATAACAGCAAACCGCTCAAGCATGAAGAGGTGAAATGGTTCAAATAATTAGTTAAAAAATTATTCAGCAATACTTTTTATGTCATCAGGTGATCCCTGACAAACACTGAATGCACTAATGAAGCCATACACAATCACAAATGCATGTTTACTTTATTAATAATGATACTAATATGTAAGTTCCACTAATAAGGGCGTTTATTGTAATTTCATGTGCCATGGTTTAGTTGGTTGTAGTCTTGATTCAGTTCACAAAGTCAATACAATCTGTGTGTACATTAATTGACATATCTTGGTTTTAAAATGCTTTGACTAGTGCATATATGTGACCCTGGACCACAAAACCAGTCTTAAGTAGCACGGGTATATTTGTAGCAATAGCCAACAATAGGCTACAGTGTATGGGTCAAAATTATAGATTTTTCCTTTATGCCAAAAAATCATTAGGATATTAAGTAAAGATCATGTTCCATGAAGATATTTTGTAAATTTCCTACCGTAAATATATCAAAACTTATTTTTTGATTAGTAATATGCATTGCTAAGAACTTCATTTGGACAACTTTAAAGGCGATTTTCTCAATATTTAGATTTTTTTGCACCCTCAGGCAATTTTTCAAATAGTTGTATCGCAGCCAAATATTGTCCTATCCTAACAAACCATACATCAACGGTAAGCTTATTTATTCAGCTTTCAGATGATGTATAAACAAATATAAATAATATAAAATCTGACCCTTGTTATGACTGGTTTTGTGGTCCAGGGTCTCATATTTCCAGTACATTTTATTTGAAACAATTACGCTATTCAGTTAAGTATTTTTAAAGTAACTTGACTTCGAAAAAAAGTTAAACAACTTACTTGAGTAAAATTCTCGATTCACTCCAAATGCTCTTATGATTCTCGACTCATTACGAATCTGACAGTTAGCGATTCAGTGAGTCAGTGAGCTGATGACTCGACAACCGTTCAGACGGATTCAATCCGGTTCATGAACCGATCCCATTTGTGAATCGGTTCAATCGATTCACTGAAAAGATTCGACTCAAAAGAACGAATCGTTCCAGAATGGGACACAACTACAAAGTACTCGCCATTAGGCCATTTCTATTCGATGTGTCCTCGCGCGTGACGCAAACGTAATCCCAGAAACATACATTTGGTAACATACGCAAAATGTAGGCGTTCAATATTTATCGCGTGGAATGAAAATGAGCACTGAAGCAGCTCGGTGTTGTTTTAATATTGATTGGATGAGTTTTGAGGGGCGTCGCGTGCACAGGGAGGGGGAGTGTGCATGCGCGTGCATTGCCTGCACACTCCCCCTCCCTGCGCACGCGGCGCCCCTCCAAACTCCACTCCGCTGCTTCCTTTGGCCTTCAACCCACGGCCACAACTGCCTTAGCAAACATACAAAAAGCCTCACAATTTAAAACAGCACAATTTATTACCACACACGCAAGCGCTGGCCAGTTAAAGCTCCTCATGCGCTAAAATTCATTCACTGTTTGCACACACGCTGCCCTTCCCCTTCCAAGTTTGCATAAAACTTAATGCAACACCCATCTGCCATGAACGCTTCAGACGTTCAAGGAGAGAGAGGCACACAGTTGCTGACCGTATTTCTGGAGCTGTCGATGCGATTTTACTGTCCAGTCGCCCCGTCAAACTCGACGATCTTCACTTTGGATGCATGTGCAGTTGTTTGTGTTCTGTGCTCCTCTTCGAGAATCGTGTTCCGTTTTTTTTACAGTTTTTTGCTCTCTCTCCCTCTCCAATGGTCGTTGCGTGTTGATGTCTAGTACGCTCTTGTTGTTTGTGTTTTAGGGAAGATGGCCGTCCTACTCGGTCATACCACGTGACCAGAGTGTCGCGTTGCTTTTAGAGGCGCGTGAAGATAGCGACCCCTATCGAAAGATTCGAAACGACTGCTGGAAGTGTATTTGTACAAAATAAAAGCCACAATGACTAAGTGTGTGTGGACCGAAACAATAATTTAAAATAAATAAACACATACACAAACAAACAAAAACACATTTAAGTAAATTATCATAATAATTGTGCATAATTATATATTTTTATTTTTTTATTTGTTTAACTATGTCAACCTTTAGACACTTTAAACAATTTCCACACTCTCGCCGTTTTATTTAATTAACAGTGTTCATCAGTGGGCAATTCTGTTTTTTTTTTTGTTGTTTTTTTACAAAATGTCAAAATTTTTATAGACTATCACATGTGGTGGGAAAAAAAACATTTCAAACATTTTTTTTTTAAATAAATAGCTGACTCCTTTATCTAGCTAAGACTAACTTCATAGCATTGTGCTTACCCTAAATACAGACAGTTCATTAACATGTTCACACTCTTTACATCCTTTTTTCAGTTCATAACAGCTCTTCATTTAGACATCTTGGTAAACAGGTGCACTTCTTCTTTTTTTAAGTGCAAAATTATTGCTCCAAGTCAAATAACATTTATTTATTTTTTCTTTCATTTGTTATAACCTTTATTTGACCCTCTAACTCTAACACTTTCTATTCTATTTTAATTCTACTTTTTATATAGATTGTACAAATATATACAGATTGTTTATATACATTTTACAGATCTTACAGATTGTAGACAAATTGTGACAAGGCAGATAAACAGGAAGACATCAAAAGAATCAATTATGGAAACTCCACACTCTGATTATGATTGAAAACACACCACACTTTGGTTCAGAATTTGTGTAAAAACCATCAATCATCTTCACACAATAAACATTTCAATGATGTAGGCCTATGCATTTAAAATAATAACAACAATAATAATAATAACAACAACAACAATAATTATTAGTGCTGTCAAACGATTAATCGCGATTAATCGCATCCAAAAGAAAAGTTTTTGTTTATGTAATATATTTGTGTACTGTGTATATTTATTATGTATATATAAATACATAAATACACAATCGCGATTAATCGTTTGACAGCACTAATAATAATAATACATGTATAGATGGTATTTGAGTTATTAAAGTTTTTTTTTATTTTTTATGTGGTCTTCATATATATATATATAAAGAAATATATAACCATTCAAACATATAAAAATTCCAAATATAGCATGGTTATCATTTAGTTACTTGGTAGCCTATATCAAAATACCATGGTATTTGGCTCCACCATTTTAACATGGTATCATCACAGCATTCGCTGTAAGGGATGTTTAGTAAAATACACCAAAACCTGCTGCGTTGCCCTTGGGAGCATAGACATACAGCTGCGATTACAATACTGAAGTTGAGTACATCATAATCACGGACTTTTACTTTGACAATTTCGTGAATGCGCTGGTGTGGGTTTTTCCGCGAACATGGAGGCTGTTGTGTCAGATCTTGTGGCACCAGAAGATCTAAAGGTAAAACATTTTATCCTTTACTTTCATGACTGTAAATCCAAAATGACATCGATGTCGTATTGATGTATGTGGTGAAATGACCGATATCGGGTTTTAATCGGGATTTTCGGCGGACGCGTTTCTACTGTACATTACTTAATCAAAACAACAACACTGATTATGCCGTATTGTTGTAACTCATAGACTTATAGAGTAGACCTACTGTTATACGCCTTTGCTTTTTGGATAAAATACACTTATTTGATCAACTTATTATTGTTATCCTATTATCTCGCCTACTATTTGAATGGAATCGGCCGTTTGTCTGCTGTAAAAGTTAGTCTAAGGTTGTCGGCCAGGGGGAGCACGTGATCCTGACACCAGCCATCTCGAGTCAATCTGACTCTCATCAATCTATTGACAAGAATTGTTGTCTTTCAGAGGTTTGAGAAGAAGTACAACGCTGAGCTGGTGAAAGGACCCGTTTCCAAAGAAACGACTTTTGAATATGCCTGGTGTTTGATCAGAAGCAAGTACACAAATGACATTGTAAAAGGCATTCATCTATTAGAAGGTCAGTTCTTCAGCATGTCTTTGGTCAGTTACAACCTTCTTGAGCTTCAGCTGTTATTGGACATAGGCCTGTCACGATAACAACTTTTTGTTGTGCGATATATTGCCCCAGAAATAACTGCGATCTGTTATTTGACCTATTCTTGGTTTAAAATTCTGAAAGTGATTCCGTTTTCTTTTAACAGAACTGGTTCATAAAAGCAAAAAAGATGATCAGAGAGATTTCCTCTTCTACCTTGCTGTTGCAAACTACAGGCTTAAGGTGGGTTTACATTTTTCTTATTTTGATATGTGATGGTTTTGTCACTGCTAATAAGCATTCTTTATTTCATGAAGCCATCTGTGGCATCTAGTTAAAAGAGTGTTTCTCAACTCTGTTCCTGGAAGCCCTGGTACATTGGAGTTTACTGCATAATTCCAAAATCAAATCAGATCAATTAAATAACTTTACTGTCACGTCACCATATAAACAAGTGTAATGTGTAAACGGTTCAATACGGATACCAGATGAAGTAAATGTACAGAGGTGAATCTCACAAAACATGTACATGTCCAAGTCATATTTTACCCCAAAATCAAGGGCATGCGTGTTTGAAATACATTACCTTTCGAACGTTTTGGTCAGTAATATTTTTAAAATGTTTTTGAAAGAATTCTCTTTTGCTCACCAATGTTGCATTTGTTTGATCAAAAATATAGTATAAACTGGGCTTAGAGATACTTGGATCATTTTGAATTAGTTTCCATTTAATCTCTCTCTCTCTTTACCACCTCTCAGGAGTACGAGAGAGCACTGAAGTACATTCGTTCACTGCTGAAGAATGAACCACAGAATAAACAGGCCCTGGAACTGGAGAAACTCATCAACAATGCGCTAAGAAAAGGTGAGATACAACAGCATTTGAACCAGAAAAAAAAGACATTCAGTAGTCTTATTAATTAGGATTTTGTGACACACTACCGTTTAAAAGTTTGGGGTCAGTGCGATTTTGTTTTTTAAAAAATGTATACTTTTATTTAGCAAGGACTCATTTCATTGTTCAAAAGTGACAATTAACATGAATTTTCACATTGTTAAAATAAATTTCGATTTTAAAATAAATTATTTTGTTTTGAACTTTATATTCATCAAATCCTAAAATTTTTTTATAATTGTTTCCACAAAAATAGTAAGTAGCAGTATACTGTTTTCAGCATTGATAATAAACAGAAATGTTTCTGGAGCAAAAAATCTGCATATTAGAATGATTTTTGAAAGATCATGTGGCACTGAAGACTGAAGTAATGGCTGCTGAATATTCAGATTTGCCATCACAGGAATACATTTCAGTTTTAATTATATTCACTGCCTTTCATTTGTCACAGAGAATAATTGTTCAAGATCCATTTAGAATGAGAAAGCTTGAGATGATGACTGCATTTGCATGCATATCAGAATTTAGTGATTGGTATTCAGTCATGTAAATGCCACAATCATATTGCTGTTTTTCTGTTTACGACAATTTTTGGATTCCGCAAATTCCAATTCCCACCCCAGGAATAAACCAGTTTTAATCAGAAACTTGTTGCATGTAACTTATTCAGAAAATCCACTGCAGTGAAGGAAGTATATGTGTCTGTGCCGCAAAACCTCCCAATTTGATGGCAACTGGTTTCATCCCATTCTTCATGATTGCAGATTTTGTGGAATGAGCGTTTCAACATTCTTAAATTGCTTTGCCATTCTACATCTGTAAGCTATAACATCACGGCTTTCTCCTACCAGTCCTTGCTGCAAACTTGCATTCACTATCTCTTCTTTTGCTGAGTTACCACCACATGACTGCACCTGCCTTTTGACAATTGCCTGATTATTACCATTTTATTACGGTGTTCTCAGGTAGGCCTGTCACGATAACAACGTTTTGTTTTGCGATATATTGCCCCAGAAATAATTGCGATAAGCGATATTATTGTCATTTTAAAGACCATTTTATGTCACTGAATATATAATCATAATGTAACAGCATAATAATGCAAGAAGGCCTACACGCTTCCAAATGACAACAAACTTTTAATTTTAAGAATATTTAGGTACTAAACACGGTGATATTAATTAAAGTAAATATAATGGGCGATATATTGCGTCACTAAAAATTATTGAGGTCATGTACATATATTGCGCGATAAATCAATATATTGATTATTGCGACAGGCCTATTCTCAGGTGTTTTTAAAGGCGAGAAGTGGAGGAGTCCTTATTAAATTATAGACCTGCTTATATTGTCATACCTGCAACAACCACGTTTATAGAAATATTCCAGTGTCTGTATGTGTTTAAACATAAATATAGGCCTTAAACTGAATTTTATGTGCATGTAAACAAAACTCAAAGTGATAACAGCATAAGCAATAGTGGATTCATCTCAACAAAGAAATCATTATTATTATTTTTTTTTTTTTACATGTTCTTTTTCAGATGGCTTAGTTGGCATGGCGATCGTCGGCGGTATCGGTTTAGGTGTGGCCGGATTGGCTGGTCTTATTGGTTTGGCGGTGGCCAAAGGTGCAAAGTCCTAATATGGAGTTCCTGGCGAGCGTACTTTGATTCCGTTCCTCTCCAGAAGAGAGACTTAATGATTTCTTATAATCACATAAAACCATAAGGTGGCCTGTCCCTTTTTATTTTGTATTTTTCTGCCATGATTTTCATAATGAGCTATCATATTTTACCACATTTCTTTTGCTTTATGATTCTCCAGCTCTTTCTGGTATGTATAGATATGTGGGGTTGGAATAAAGTAAAAAAAAAAAAAAAGTATGTTTTTCCTCTGAAACTTCATTTTTCAAAGGAAATTCAACTACAGAGGTTTGCCAAGGATTTGCAGTACAGAATAAGATGTATTGTATTAGTATGCACTTTTGGGGTTTTCTCTTTTTTAATTAAATA